GCAGAACGAAACATCACTGCCCCTCGATCGACCTAAAAACCCCACTGTGAGGTTGAATCCAGAATGTGAAACCCACTATAAACCAGTGTATTACAAACTTTAGCAGACACAAAGCGCGAATTCCTGGTTGCAATGAAAGAGCTCTTTATTTTCTCTTTCATGGCCTTTTATGGACAGTAAGGTATTTTGACGACGTCTCTGGAAGCATTAAACTGAAATATGTATAACCTTGTAATTAACCTTTGTATCTTCTGCCTTGGAGCCGTATGCCTTGTAAAAAGATTTCGTTAAAATATTTAGAGCTAACCTGGATTAAGGTTTAAAAGGAATGAAAGCTTACCGTTGTATCAAAGTCAACATTGGAGACTCTCCATCTTTCTTCCATTCAGAGTAAGTTTTAAATCTGTTTACATTTCGCGCTCTGTGAATACTCACAGATGCACTCCTTCCTCTGAATAGCTGTTTAGCATACTAAAATGAGCTTCTTGCAGCTGCGCTCTTTCGTGTCTGCTTAAGTATGTTAGGTAGATTGAGAGGCAGTGATGATTTCGTTCTGTAAAGCTAAGAAAATGGAGAAAACATAACAATAAAATCTTACAGAACTTAAAGAAGACAGTTGATAGTATATAGGAGGGGTGGGGAGGGGGGTGGGGAGTAGGAAAGTGCGGCTCTGGAACAATTTTTGCTCTTTCCACCTTCCGGCTGTAGGGTTTTGAATTAAGGTTTTTCCCGCAATTTCCATCTTATCTTGCGCACTTATCTCATAAAAGCGATTTAATCAGGGTTCATAACAGATGTTAGTTCAGTTCCTCATCTTCTTGAGACTGGTTGGAAGGAAATGACCGGAGGGCACGACCCCAGACGCTCAGTGGGGAGGGCTTGTTAAAGTCGCAAATTGAGTCGAAACATAATGGGCCATAATAATGACACAGAATTTGCAGATAAGCTCGTGTTGACGTTATTCTTTGTTTCTATTTCAGGCCAGACCGAAAGGAGAGGGTCTCACTCCATACCAGGGGAAGAAAAGATGTTTTGGAGAATTCAAATGTCCCCTGTGTAAGCGCAAGTGGATGAGCGGCAACAGCTGGGCGAACACTGGGCAACAGTGCATTAAGTGTTACATCAACGTGTATCCGCACAAGCAGAGACCGCTGGACAAACCTGATGGACTCGACGTGTCGGATCAAACCAAGGAACATCCTCAAGATCTCTGCGAGAAATGCAAGGGCCTTGGCTACTATTGTCGCAGGGCTCAACAGAGTTAAGGAAATTAGACCCGTTTAAATTACACTTAAGGTTATGGTACCTTTAAAAAGGAAATTATTGTTCGAAACCTACATTTAGACTCAATTAGGGGCGTGTGTTTTTTTTACAAGGAAATATTTTAATTTTGTGTTAGGCTCTTCTGTGAAGAACATAGCTTTGATCTTTAGCTGCTAGGTAGCTGTGAATTTTTATTTCTTTAGGCCAGAAAGTTTCCTTGTCTTTGCTCGTAGACTCTCTGGTTCCAGTTGGAGTATTGCTTACTTAAATTTGAAAATATTGGAACTTTGACTCCACTTTATATAGACAGATCAACTTGCACCCAAGGAAGAATTCTATTTTAAGTTGACGAAATATTTGTAAA